TCATGCATGGAGTACTGTAATCTGTTCATTAATGGCATAATGAGAGCTTACTATATATAATACCGTACTGTAGTCCATAGTGTTTCAATGGTGTTTTGGATTCCATATTTTATTCTGGCAACGATATTATTAATTATTATACAAAGGTAAGTTTAATTGTTATGGTAAATAATGTGTTTTGAATCACTTTCTTTGCATGTGATACTCATGACATAAAAAGACTATGAGTCCAATTTTTGAAAAATATGTCAATATTTCTCATGAAAATGGGTCCACATTATTTGAATTTACACGTAAAGTGGGTCCACCTTGATATTGTCCTGCACTGCTTGAAAATCCTGTCTACGACATTGATACTACTACTACAAGTCTTAAGAAAGAAGGGAACATAATGCTTTGCCTTCCAATCCCATGGTCCTTGGTTCGATACCTGCCACTCACGGACACAGAATCTTTTCTCACAACCAAAAACAACTCCACACTCTAAGGCTCGTATGAAACAAGATTTGTTTATGGAGAGCATCTTGTTTTAATGTTTGTCTTGTGAAGGATTGTCACTTGTGTATAAAGTGGTTAAGTTCACTTGGCATATAATGTACTTGGCATTGAGCCTAAAAGTTATATCACTATCCTAAACCAATAATTTTTAATCTGTTTTTTTTTTATAGCCTCAATCTGATTAGAATTAATTGTTCTTTATTTGTGAATAGAGGGGAGGGGGAAGGATTAACAACAATGCAATAACTTAAAATCATGCAATAAAAATGACCAGAGACTGAATTATTCAGACATCTGCAACAAATGACAACAGAGATTTCAAGAAGTTCACAGCTGAAGAAAAGCTTGCGTTAATAGTTGATGGTAAAGTGGTGTCTACTTCACACTTAAGCTGTTAAGACAGTTTTGTATCCCAACTACAGTATTTCATTATTTGTATGAAACTTTAGTATACAGTAGTACTACATTTTCCTGGTTGAACTATAAAAATTTTTAAACAACATTTGCATTCTTTGAGAATGCATTTGTATTCTGAATGTATCTCAGTTCAAACCTTTGCCTCAGCCTGTGTTTACTGTACATCTGTAGGCTGGTCTACAGTATGTTATGAAATTTTCTCATGAATTAACCATTCTGGAAGCTCTGAAAATTTGAATTTGCAGAGCATTGAACTGTACAATGTCATGCTTCATTGGTTTTCACAGTTTGTTAGTGTATTGTATTGATCATAACAACAACATTTAAAAAAATGCCCCAATAAATAGTTTATAAATCTATATTCATTAGTTTGGGTTTGGGTTCAATTGTTTGCGTTGTCACCTTTATACTGTGGCTTGCCAACTTCAGCTTTGTGTGTGCGATTAGAGATTTTCTGATCCAACAGGCTGCATTCTGTTTGTGACCCCACTATGAAGTTTGATAACCGAATGCAATTAACAATGGTATGCGCTCTGGTTTACTAGAATAGGATCTCGTACAACATTAAATGATCTAATTCAATTATCCGGATAAGGATACTATTCTCGGGTCTAACATTGCATGTAATTTTTTCCTTCGTTAAAGGAATACTACAGTATGGTATCTGGGATCATACTTTATATAGATTAATATGAGTAAATTAGTAATGATATTGTAGTTTATATTTATTGTATAAATTAAAATATGAAATAAACCATAAAAAGTACCTGTTGTAAATGTGATTTTTTTTTTTTTTTTTTTTTTTTTTTTTTTTTTTTTTTTAATATGTAAAATGCAAGAAACATGGTACTGTACAGAATTTTGTTGTTTTGATTTGAATGAAGAGATGCCAACATTTGATTCCAATAATCACATTTACAGTGACATACTGTACTTAAAATATAATAATGATAGTAATTATTTACATTTTATACAGTAGTGCATATTGTTCAGTGGCTCTGCAGGTATGCACACCAAATCCTGGTTACCTAGAGCAGGTTTATGATTCTCTACAATAAACTGGTAATGAGGCTTGTTTTTGGTCAATAGAAAAAAATTGTCACTTAAAATAAACAGGAATTACTGTAAACTAAGAAGACTATGAAATGCAAGCAACTGAACTACTAGTACCATACCACACAGCTTTTGTCACTGATGATACCGTAGTACAGTTGTATATTTGTACAGTACCGTACTGTAGGTCTAACCTATTATTTTTCATTTTTCATTTAAATAATTAATAAAGGAATTAGTAAAATGAAATAATAAAATAATACTGTTAATAAATAAATAAATGACTATACAATTAGGATTGTCATTTCCAGTTTTATAGAAATTTGTTGGACTTTTAATTGCACTTGTTACAGTACAATGATGTTACAGTATTTGTCAAACCAATGAAAGGCCTTTTAACTTACTGTACCCCAAAGAAAGTGTAGAAAAAGTGTAGAAACCACATAGTCATTTATTACCTATCAAAATATTTAAGCTTGACACTGTTTATTAATGGCCCGTGAAAAGGTATGAAGTACAACAACATAGAGTAAAATTGGTAGAGTAGGTCTCCAAAAGACAGATCAAGTTTGGCAGCCTTAATAAATAATGGGCTATTTGTTTAGCTTTGTGCCATATCAACTGTCTTGAAATTGGTTGTATATGTGCATTTTTGACACTTTTATTTCCACTTTGGTCACTTGAACACCTCTCCGGGGAGTCTTTCAATCACCAGCGTTAGTGAATGTTTGCTGAAAGACTGGTATCACTAAATAGTCATGCTACAAAAATGCGTCACTTGTGTGGATGTTTGAACTTTACTAAAATCATTTACTTAGCATTGGCCGATTAATTTTTGCCATTTATTTTGTTCGCATTAAACATCAATTTTATTTTTCCATTGCAATATAGAATAAATTTAGTATGTTAATTATAATATAAAATAATTAGAATTTATAATCAACTGAATACAAGAAAGTCATTGTTGAATCATAAAATATTGTAATGGCAGGGAGAGAGGAGGATTGGGAAATTGAGGATGTGGGGAGGGGGTGGAGGATGGAAACAAATTTCCTTTAAAAGGCAGAGAAAAATTTAAATATTTATTAATGAGCATTCTACACCAATTAATACTGTTTTCCTTCTTTTTTTCGTTAAAAGATAAAATCATATAAACATCAATTGATGTACTACAGTATCTGAGTTTCTCACAGACATTTTGTTTACAAAAAATGTACATTTGTAAATTCTTTTGTCTAAATTTTTTGTGTCACCTGCCATTTGCAGAAACCTCCCAAAGTAAGACTTATCCAAATAATGCGTTTGTTTTGAAACAGCATGAGCTAGGGTCAAACCGTGCCATCAAGCATAGTACAGTACACTTGCAACATATTTCTACACACACACATTGATCGCCTGTGTACATGCCGCCAAAAACACTAAGGGTCCTGCATGTCTTCTACTTTAATCTTAGCAATTATAATAATTAAAAAAAAAAAAAAAAATGAGGCAACTTGTTTCCTTCATAATATTGAATTTGAATGTGATATCCGATTTGTAGCTTCATACAGTATGTTACTAGTTATTGAAATAAACAGAAGAAATATTAAAATAAATATTTACGTTGCAATAGGTATCATATGATTTTCATAGAGTTACACTGTACAGTATATAAGAGTGTTTTGTGATATCCAAGTTTCCTGAATCTATCTTTCCTATTGTAGAATTAACCAGTTTATAGCTGATCCTTGATATTCAGTTTTATTTTTCCAGTTGTCACATCTGCAGTAAAATATCTGTTCAGATTTTGTGATAGGTGTTTATTGTATTACATTACATTCACCTAGGTACTGTACATTAATATGGTTGCCATTTTATCTGTTCAGATTTCGTGATGGGTGTTATTGTATTACAATACATTCACCTAGACCTGTAGGTACTGTACATTAATATGGTTGCCATTTGAAGAACAACAGTGTGGGTTTAACTACAGCTATAACAAATAATCCCCTGACTTGCAGAGAAGAGGTGTTTATGTCATATTTATGGATTGTTTTTTCTCTTTTCCCATTAGCCTGACATTATATTGTAGGATCATGTTTCAGTTTTTCTTTCTACTTTCACAAATTACAGTACTATATGTAGTAATACTGATATTTTATATTTTGCAAATGGGTTTATCCTATTGTAGCTGTTTTTTTTTTCCTTTCTTTGCTGCAAATAACCTAGTATTTTGATTAAAGAATAGATATTAAGTTTATTTTCTTTTTTTTTTCTTAATTATTAAATAAATCTTTTATTATTGTAAATGTATATTTGGTATTTTCCGTTAACTCTAAATGGTGTATGTAACATAAAATATAAACGAAAGAAATTTAAAAATATGCACTTTTTAGGAAATTATTTTTCTGGTTCATTTTTCCTCTGCAATAACCTTTTATTACCTATACTGAGAGCATTATTCATCATGTTTCACATTTTCAGAGTCAATTTTATTTCAAGTTAATGAAAATATTATTGATTTTCAAGGAAAGGTTGAAATATTTAGAATAAAGGAACAGTGATGGCAGGCATATGGCTCGGATAAGAAGATGAAACGCGGTGAATTATCTGCTAATCGTAATTCTAGTCAGTCTTGATGCATTTATTTGACTAGGAGTAGGACCTATGCCATTCTCGATTTGGCAATAAGTCTTTATTAGAGCAAAGATAAATTTATCAATCTTTTAGGCAGAAGAGATACTGTTAAGCATGTTAAATTTTTAAAAGCCTTGAGAAGGCTTATACTCATTTTTTTTTTAGGATTTTCAATCTTGACGATATTGTAAATTGTTTTGGTAAATGCATGATTTAGATATCGGGATCAACTACTAATCTATCATCAGATTTTAAAACATTTTTATTATTTTTTGTATGTATGTTAATTTAATATGGCATCTTTTCAGGTTCAAAATGCTTATTTTCCAGGTTATTATATCTATATGCTTGTGTTTCTACTGTTGTAAAAATACGGTGCCAACATGAAAATAATTTTTTTATTTTATTTTTTCTAGTGAAAAATTATACCGGAGCAAGAAATTTCAAGAAATTATCAACTCGTAGAGTGGTTACTACATTCAGATTTCTTTATGATACATCCAAGTTTGAAGCAATTTGAGAAGACAAATTTTATAAGAATGAACCAGTAACCATCGAGGAGGTTTGGTAAGGTTAATCAGTTTGAAATATGACGTCAAATATGCGACAGACGCAGTGAAATTTTGATTAGCATTGTGAAGAAACAGTTTCAACCTGTATTGCTGTAAATTTCTTTTTTTCGAGGATTACAAAAATTTGACTTTAAAATGAACACAGCTACGAATAGCATTGGCGATCCATTCAATGGCTTATCATGATGCTACTATGCACTTCCCAAAAAGGGATTGTGGCTGACTTTGGCTTTTAAAGGAAAAGAGATACTTTTTGTTCAGGATATCATTTAAAAATTTAGAATAATGATGAAGGCATTTACCAAATTCTTCTGTTTTCCTCGGAGGCATTTTAAACGGGTTGTTATGTTACTCGTTGTTTCATTCTTCGCTCTGTGGTTGTCGGGATACTACCAGACTTCTAAGACCAAAGTAGACGGCAGTTATCATAGCAAATACTCAAATTTGAGGTTAAAGACGATTGGTGAAAGGTTTACCGATGACACCAAGAGATCGAAATTTAAGGAAAGACTCAAGAAAAAAGTTGATTCAATGGTGTTAGTGCTAGCAGAGGATTCGCAATCAAAGAATTCCCTGTCATCAATAGTATGCGTTACCCTAGAAGCCAAACATTTTAAGTACCGCAAACGTTTGTTGAGCGAGGGTAGTTTACCGTCGCTTACGCAACACGGCCAGGGTTTGTATTCAGTGATCATCTTTGAGAGCTTGAATTCATATATTTATTTAGATACAAACGATCGGACAATGCTTGATGATTATTGCCGTGAATTTAATGTCGGGATTTTTGCGTTTGCCGTATCTTCCAAGAATGAAATTACACTAAGCTCGCCGGTTGGAAATCTACCAATTCATATGGACAAACAGTTATCGTTACGAGACTTGGAAGTGAATCCAAAATCTCAAGTTTTGCGGATAACAAAGGCGGGGGGTAAAATTAACACAGAGGCTGACAACTGGACAGTGTTTCATGGAAACCATTCGACCTACCAACCAATTGTTACAGGACAGATAAAGAGTGACAGTGTGCAGCAAATTTCCCACGGTATGCATTCAAATGCCGTCTTCCACACAACTGCAGTGCTTGATCAGGGCTCATACGATGGTGTGAAAAGGATATTTTTTGGGCATAATTTTCAAATATGGATACATTATCCATTGTTTTTTGACAGCTTGCACTATCTGTCTAACGGCCGTATTACGTGTACACTGGAACGATACATTATGGTTGATATTGATGATATATTTGTGGGTTCTGCTGGTGTCAGAATGGTTCCGGATGATGTGGAGGTAGGTTCTTTCAAAAGGATATTCACTCATAGTTTACATTAGGGAGCTTTTGATTCGCACGACTACGTGACCCTAGAATTGAATCACTCATGCGTGACCATTTTACAGTACGTTCTCTGCATAACATAGATTCAGTAGAATTGCATCCTAGAATTCACATGACAAGGGGAATTTAACGATCTAGCATGCACAGATGACTTCTCGATGACGTTACGTTCCATGTCCTACCAGTTTGTGCGATTGAAATCTCTCTATTGTCTGATGTGCAGAAAATTCTGTTGAAATTGTGACGCCCTCGCTCACTACTGTATCAAATTTTTGTGTATCATCACCGCAATATCTGATAATAGACATTGTCTTATTTTATTTTATATCATTTTATTTTATTTTTTATAGATGGCCAATGATACACCACATGACAAACTTAATCTGTTTCTGATTTGCAATCACTTTCACAAGACGAACACACACATTATTTGCTTAAAAACTTTAAACTAAGACTCTTTATGAGGCTTTGGGAGTGAGTTGTTTTTTGTTGTGAGAAAGAAATCCTATAACACTGATAGGAATTGAACCCATGACGCTGACATTGGAAGGCAAGCATCTTAAAAATACACTATCTGCCAAAAATAATATTTAAGCTGATTTTTCTATATGTTATAGTTTAATGTGCTCCTTCTGTGTATAGTAAGTTTTATCATTCAATTTAGTGGTTTAACTGCATCATTGGCCAAGATAATTTTCTGTTTTATTATATAATGGATGATATTTTCAGGCAATATAATTCTTAGTACTAAAATCAACTGTAAGCTATGTCATGTGGCATATAGTGGCATTGACCCAGATACAGCTTTTAACACATTTCGTCAGTTAAAATTGCCAGATTTCAGTGGACCGTGACCAAGCTGTATTGAATTACATTAAGTATTTATTACACATACTATACATGATCTCTCTTCTCATGTTTTTTTCACAGGTTTCGTAGTAATTTATATTTAGAAGAAAAAAAAAAGAAATATTCCTACAGTATATTTTTATATTGCTTGTGTTCTGTTTGGTAGTTTTGTCTAGCATAAACAAATCTACAGTGCCGCCAGATATCCTTATCTGAAGTATTGTACCTCCTTTCCCATTTACCTTTTAGGGCTAGGCATATCCCATTAGACTTCTGATCACTTCCCTAGAAATAACATTCACACTCCTCTATAAGTAGCCTTAAATTGTTATCAAAAAGTTCTTCCATTTCTTCAAGCATGTAATCAATGGTGTACAATACAAGACCCTCATTTGCAAAATGTTATGCTTCTCCATGCCCATGTTCTACTGTATTTCACAACATTATATTTATATTTATAAATATAAAATTTATGAATATAAATTAAGTTGTGAAATAGTATGGTATGAAGATTAAAATGATGATCATTTTGTCTTCAGTATTCTTGCTGGAATTCTTGCTCAAGTCAGTACCATAAATTATAGTTTTTTTCTTCAACTGAAGTGTGAATGTTATTACTAAAATGATCTTCAGCTCATAAAAAGTAAATTGAGAAATAAAGTAAACAATATCACATATCATGTTGGGTCATTAACCTGACACTGTGTTTCACACCTTATTTTTTAGGATATTTAAGACTACAGACCAAAAAAAGTGTTTTTCTATATACAGTATAAAGACCATGGTTATAAAAATAATCCAAGTAAAATACAGTATGCTATTACTACAGTATATGCTGGCATACTGTAGTTTTTTTTTTAAATGGATACAGTACTTGTATTTTTTTGCTAATAATTAATCAAAACACTGGAAATTTAAAACTTGTAGGATTACAGTAATGATTTGAAAGTAAAATATATTCAAAATTTAATTTCCCATACAGTACTTTATATATACAGTAAGATATACTGTAATATGAATCTTGGTTATTCAATGCCAAATAGAAAGAAACATACTACTGTAGTAGTACAAATAAATACAGATTTTTTAAAATGTCCTTTTTAGTGCATGCTAAACATGAGGCACAGGTCAATACTGTAACTGCTGTATATTACGTTCATATAAATTTCAAGTCCTGTTTATTTTTATTTTATGTTATCAAACAAAGGCGCTAGAAATTGAGCAGGAGAACCTCCGTCGCATCATACCTGGCTTCACCTTTAACCTCGGATTTTCGGGCACATACTTCAAAAAAGGCAACAAAAATGAGAATGAGGGTGATGTCGAGATCCTCCGCCGCGCTGACAAATTCTGGTGGTTTCCGCACATGTACAACCACATGAGACCGACAGTTTATACTGACGAGGCTGATCTTCGCAAGTACATGCAACTGAATAAACAATTTGCTGAGGTAAGGAGCAGTTTTGTTTTATTACCTGTCAGAGTATAACAATTGTCTTGACAATGTTTACATTATCACAGACATTGGTATGTATAATAACCAATAATGTGATAGTTATTTATCTATTTATTACCAAATAATGATAACATTTTAATGAGATGCGATAATCATCAACAGACCTAAACGGAAACTTCTTTCAGATTTATGGCTAATATCACAATGGTGTACTGTATCTGTATAAACACAAGAAATTATTTAGCCTACAGTATGCCAGTGGAAACACTGTTGTTAAAATTACATGGCATTAGTCGACCTTTCACATTAGCAATGTGGTAAAGCGGTCACAAAGTGGATAATGGCCAGGAGTCACAAATAGATTTAATCTAAAGTGGTAGACTCAGCAGTTAAGTGGTGGTATCGCATCTCTTCAGTTGACTACCGATCATTGGTCAATCAAAAGCTTTAGTCAGTACTCCAAATGGCAGCTCTGCAGTTCAAAAGCAAATGGAATCACTTGTGTATTTATAGACATGTCATGGATGAGGAAAGTGCAGGCTAGACCATTCTGGAGCCATCATACTGTACAGAGCTCTTTATACCATTGTAGCGGGCTGACAGATTAGCTAATATTATCAAATCAAATGTATTGGTCGAACTCATTAAAATATTAATACATTATTTCATATTCGCATTCATGAAGTACTCTGCATGGTGCAGTACTGTGTACACCATGCCTGCTTATGTTGATGATGACTAAAAATATCACTAAATTTTCTATCATCTTCAGTCCATTATTAAAGTACTGCATATGGTGTAGCTGTACAATATGTTGTGCTGAGTTTTAACAAAATCAAAGTAGTATAAAAACACCATCTTGCAATATTACTATACCTCATAAATATTAATTAGGTAATAGCAGCATGTCATTGGTCAATTCCATCCAGATGGCGCAGTAGTTTCTTCTCCCCACCCCCTTGCATGCCGACTACGTGGGGAAAAAAGAAATACCCAAAATCGACTACCGACTATGTGAACCGTATGCAAACTGCACAATTTTGCCATCACAGACAGATCAAAATGGCTAAATGTAGACAGACATTTTTGCTGTTTAATGTTTAGTAATAGAGGTATAGTAAAAAAAATTACAATATGGTTTTATTTTGGTGAAGCGGTAAATTCTACTTTCTACTCGTTGTTGGATGATTTGGACTATCTCCTTCTTATAAACGTCGGGAGAGCGTCCCAATCAGCCAACACCTCAGGATGTAGAATTGACTACTTCACTATATTGTGTTTTTCACCATCAGCTATAGTGCTTTCATAAATTTAATTTAGCTTTAAAGATAATCAGCAAATTCCTGTAGAAATCCAAAGAATCCTCAAGCAATGAATATTGCAGGCCTACATAGGCTACGGTCACACTAGAACCTCGAGCCTGGCTTGAACTCACTGCGATTGAGATTTCACACCAGGCTTGAAAGTGTTGGACGGTCACACTACGTGGGTTGACCTGGTTGCTTGGGTTTTGAACCTGTGACGCCGTTCTTTTTTCGTACCCCAAGTTCGCTAACCTTTCGCTTACCATTTCGTAAACGCCGTTTTTATTGTTGAACTTCTTGTCCTCGATTTTATCCCGTAGCTCAGGCTGGGCCCACAGATCTATTAAATCGGCGGTTTCGTTGTCTGTCCACAACACTCACATATTACAATTAATATTAAAATCATATCAATGAAAAAAATACAGCAGTTCTAGTAGTAGCCACCTAGTTTGTTTTGTTTTTTTTTCTAGCTCGCGGGGTTTTTTTTTCGCATTGTGTGGTGTGTCGCTAGCTCTCCTCTGATTGGTCATATTCCGACGAAGAAATGTCAATCCCGGTCGCGCCAGTGGCAATCGAGGGTCAATCTCGGTAGCTTGCCTGAGTTGAGCTGTCTGGGTCGAGAGCGATTTCAAGCCAGGCGCGAGGCAATCCAGACTCGGTCACACTACGAAAATCTCGATCGTGGTGAGTCAAGCCCGGCTTGAGGCTGTAGTGTGACCATAGCCTCAGTATTTTTTGTTGGCCTTATTTAGGGCACATTCTGATTTTGTTATTCCATTGACAAATTCAGGGATTTATAGCTGCCAACTTATTGCCAGTTCACTCTAAATAAGCCATAAACTGTGGCCTAATACTATAGTACAGTTTATATCAATATTTTATTTTATCACCATATATTACAGTGGCTTGACCCTATTTTTTATGCATAATATAAAGCAAAATGTTGAATAGTACATATTCATTGAAATTACCAGCAGTGTACTGTACTATCTATCCCTAGCCAATACTCTAAACTAAACCAAGCTTTTTTCGTGTACTGGGGTCAGCGCAAAAGGTTAATGAATCCGATCCACCAGGCCCTAATATCAACGGCAATTTACTAGCAACAGCTGGCTACAACAGCAACTTACACTGTGTCCTATGTGATTTGGTGGCTGATTTGTTCTTCAGATCATCACAACACAAATATACAGTAACCACCCAGCCTTAAGCCATGAATAATATTTCATCCTATCGTCATGCTTCAGCGAGTACTAACATATGAGAAGGCATCTCATTACCAAATAATATTTTATCTTTATCCAACCAGGTGGGCTCAACGATATGAACATCTCTTTTTTAATTACTTGTATGAATGATCAATGATTGATCCTGGTTTAATCATTATCATCATTTACCAAACACTATTGACTGTTAAATCGAAAGGTCCACTGATTAATCTCAGATAAGAAAGTATAATACATACTCCAAGTATTTAAATACACACCATCGTGTTGGGATTCAATATTTCGACATTAATTATGTCATCATCAGGAATATTGACTGTTGACTGTTAATCCGCTATAAAGTAATATGATATGTGAGATTTTTAACATTGATTCCACCTGAATTCTCTACTGTATGTTGTGTTCTATACAAACTCCTGATTTACTATGCATTATGATTTGTTTACAAAGTCGTATTCATATTCTCATGTAAAGTATGATTACAATTGTAAAAATTTTATGAATAACAATACAGCATAGAAATATAAAAATGAGAGGTAAGGAATTGCATTGGAAGCATAGGCCTACTGTAGCATGTAACCCTTTTAAATATCAAAGATAATTAACAAAACAATTACTTAATCTAATTTAGAAGTAATCTACAGATAAGTTTTCTACCGCCGGACCATCCCGATATATTTTTGAGCCTAGGTTTCGGGGCCGGGAAAATGTTTGTTTTGTAAGTGAATTTTAGTATGCTTTACTTTGTAAACCCAGAGTCATAAGTTCAAATCCTGCATTTCCCTAATTTATTTTCTCATGACAAGTTAAATCTCTTAGCCTATGGATTTATGTCTATTGAATTCAGTATTCGATGTTTGATCAGAGGTAAGGTATTATCTAAACTTTTAGAATGTAGATAGATAGGCACATGCTACTTAGACAAAGTTTGATCAAATCAGTTGAGTTTAGAGTAAAATCTGCTTGTTCCTAAATGTCAGTACTGTATTGTTAAAACCTTGAATTGAAGCCCAGTGGGCTTAATCTCGAATTTTAGTCCCTCTCTTTGGTTTGCAAAATTAGCCTCGAAAAGAAGTTCATGGGCTTCTTTTCGATAGTACAGTACAATACTTACTGTACACTGTACATGAATGTAAAGAAAAAACAAAAATTAAAAATACGCTTTATACAGTAGTTTTAATAGGCGAGTTAATGCCAGTTAATACACTCCATGATACAGATTGGTGTTACAGTGGCCTTATTTATTGTTTTATACTGTAGTACAATTTCCCAAAATTTACAGCATTCTTTTTGAAAAGAAACCCATCTTGAAAAAAACCCCATCTGGAAAAGAAGCCCATCCAAAGTTTGCAATAAAAAGAAGCCCAGGGCTTCAAATCCAGGTTTTACGGTTTGTGATAAAAAAAATAAAAAAAACAATTATTATTCCAGAACTGATTATAACATTCCAAGGTTAAACATTTTATATTCACTTCTGTTTTATTATTCACAAATAATACAAAAGTCGCACTACCGTATGTGTAAAGCTTCACAAATAAATAGTTGGTTTGAAACTGCTGTAAAATAGTTGTTTTTATAGTGAAATGTGTTATTGCTGTAATCTGCAGTAACTGCATTCATAAAAGCAAAGTTACCTTTGAACGAGCACATTGCTGTGAACTATGGCTTCTTAATAGACTTGGTAGATAATGTACAGTACCTTATTAGCAATGCCATAGTCAGGATTTTCAGTCAGGACAGTATCAGGGTGGACCCATTTTATGCATAAATTCAAATAATGTGGATTCATTTTTTTAAAAGTTGACCCATTTTACGCATAAATATAAGAATCTGGACACCATCACTCAAAAAGTGGACTTGTATGTGCATAAAACACCAAAATGTAGATCCACTCTTGAAAATGTTGACTTACTCTTATTATATAGTAATGTGATAGAATAGTCAATAGGGAGTCAATTTGTAGGCTAGGCTAGGATATCACTAGGCCTACTTGAAGATTCTTTAATACTATCAGTTACACAGTAGGCTTAGAATACAGTATATTTCCATATTTATAAATTTTTAACATCTTCTTGAATATAAGCAGCATATTTAACTACTAAACACTAACTACTGCAACTTTGAATTGTCTAAATTTTTAATTAATGTTTAACTATAGGGCCTAATATCATTAAGATCATTTAATTTGAGTGCATAATAAAATTCTGCATCCCATTGTTATCGAAGCATTTCAGTGAGAGAATGAGAGCCGTAACTCATATAATGATGACATTGAACTGACAACGTGTATTTATAAGTTTCGCCTGCGGGCAAACGGCTTACCCGAGTGTGTTTCAACTACTGTAAATGTCCATCTATCCTAATCTTGCTGCAATTATTTCATTGTGTGCCCGTCTTGACAAGCAGCAGAATTATCAGAGTTTATGGTTGAAATTTATTTAGCTATAGGCTACCTTTCCAAATA